CCCACTAACCAATGATAAACCTCCATAATCTATTCACTAACCAAAACCCACCCATACTGCATCTATTGGGAACATGAGCATCATTCTTTAGATTACTTCCTGTTGTTTGAGGGCACTGGTGCTTTTAGGGAAACCTTGGGAAAATCAGAATAATTGTTGTCTTGACTGGAGTAGTTTGTGAGGTTGGACCATCTCAACCAACAACCTTAAATCTGCTCTTGATGCAGTATTCTGAGGAGACTGTAACAGAGGTATTTTGAGATGCTAAATCACCTGGGCCATCCATTTTTATTAGTTTGTGATCTCCTTGTAATTAAAAATACATAAACTTTTAAAGGTAACATACATGTCTATATTTATACAAGTATAGACTCTGTTGTACACAAGTTAGCCAAAGACAATTTTTTTTGTTTTATGTTTGAGCAGATAAAACACTTGTTATTTTTTGTGCAGTTTCTCTAGGATTATTTATTTATGTCTGTATCAAAGATTTTCAGGGGTTCTTCCCCAGTCAAATATCAACTTGGAATGCATCCACAGCATCTTATTTCCTGTGGAAAAAAAAGCATAACCTCTTCCCCAAAGTAACATATCTTTTGACTTTTATTTTGAAGTCAAGATATTTTTAAAATATATAGGTTGGTTTAATCTAGCAGTTTCCATAATCCAATGTGTCCTTCCTTCATCAACAATCAGAAAATTCAAAGACAACACAATAACATACAGGATCCAGAATCACCATGTATTTTCCATCATTGCATGGCTGTTTGCCTTTATAGTATTTTATTATTTCTTTAATGACTTTATTATTTTTAAACTATTTTTTCTATGACTGTCTATACTATTTCTCATTTCTCTTCCAAGCATATGTATATTTTTAAACAAATTATAATCTGTTTAGAGTTTTTTCTCCCATCTGTATCTGTGTTTACTGGGCTGTATTTATTAGGCTTTCTTTGTTTTTAGAGACATGGATAATTTTGAGGAATAGTGACCTGGTATTTTATGGAATGTCATTTAATTGCATTTCTCTTAGTTAAAATGAGGTTATGAGTCTTTGAGAGGATACCCACACTAATTAAGTAATATTTTTTTGGTAGAGGTTCCATTATGTAGCACAGGAGCACTTGTGCGGGCCAGAGGACAATTTTTAGGAGTCTGTTCTCTTTTTCCACTATGTGGGTTCTGGGGATCAGACTCAGGTTGTCAGGATTGGCAGCAAGTGCCTTTACCTGCTAAGGCATCTTGATAGTCTGAAGCAATAAAATCAGGTGGGAGTTTTTAAATTTTATTTTATAATATAATTTAATTTTACATATCAGCTATAGATTCCCTTGTTCTCTCCCCTCCCTCCCTCCCTTCTTCCCAGCCCACCCCCAATTCCCACCTCCTCCAGGGCAAAGACTTCCCTTTGGATTGAGTTCAACCTGGTAGATTCAGTCCAGGCAGGTCCAGTCCCCTCCTCCCAGGCTGAGCCAAGTGTCCCTGTATAAGCCCCAGGTTTCAAGCGGCCAACTCATGCACTGAACAGGTGGGATTTTATATTCAAAATTTTAAGGGCCACTTTTCATGTGTGTTTTGGGGTGTGTATTGTATGCACAGGTGTAACTGGAGGCTTTTCTCTGTCCCACCCATTCCCGCAGCTGCTTTTAAATAATCACGGACTGGCTTAATATTAATTACAGAATGTTTGGCCAATGGCTCAGGCTTATTACTAGCTAGTTCTTACATTTAAATTAACCCATTTCTATTAATCTATGCATCACCATGCAGCCCATTGCTTGCTGGCTCTCTGACATCTTGTTCCTTGGGAGGCTGGATTGCTTATGACCCACTCCACCCTCCTCCCTGTATCTCCGTTTGGCTTTCCCACCCAGCCTTGTTCTATCTGCCTATCAGTCAAATTGGCTTCATTTATCATCCAATGAGAGCAACACATATTCACAGCATACAGAAAGACCATACCACAGCACACATGCTCCCTTTCATTCATACATATGTATATTCAGGTAGATATGCATGTCTATATGCATATCTACATTTGTCTATGTAGATTCTATATCAGTACTGGAGTTACAGATGCACACACCTTTCTTTAATTTTGACAGGGAATCTGAACATATCTGCAACAACAAGTACTTTACTGAATGAGCCTTGGCCCTAACCTGGCAAGATCGGCTCATTTTGTTCAGATTCACTGAAGTTTGGAACATGTTGTTATAATGCAACCCTCCTGAGATTTTCTCTGTGTTGAGAGAGGTTTATAAATCAGTTTTTTTATCAATACTTTCTTAATAGTGTCAGTTACAACATTAGTCACAGTATAATTTATTGGAAAGCACTGTATTTTACAAGAAACAAAACAAATCTAAGTAAAAGAGTTCTTGAGGAGACATGATACAATTTTATGCCTTATCAGTGATTATAACAATCATGACAAGAAGTTAGGACTCAGAAAGAAATGTTAAGAATCAAAGGGAAAATATACTATAGATGACTGTGTATATATATATATATTTTTAAAGTTTAGGGGCTGGAGAGATTTCTTTTGAGACTTGCTATTCTTGCAGAAGAGGTGATTCAGTGCCTACCAAGCACATCGGCAGCTCACATCCATGTACAACTTTATCACCAGGAGGTCCACTTCCTGCCTCTGTGGGCATCCACAAGCAGGTGATAATACTTACCCTCAAACACAAACATCAACTAAATTAAAAAAAAAAAAAACTTAAAAAAATGAGTTGACTCATTTATTAAGATTTCATTTTCTAAATATTTTTATTATGCTTTATTTTTTGAGGTACAATTTAATTATATAAAAATGCATTTAGGTTAAGTACATAGATTGATATGTTTATAAGTAGATAAACTAAACCTGAAACTTTGCATAGCAACAATTACCACAGTCAAACTATATAACATTTATATCACCATGAAAATGTATCATGAACCCCTATTTTCTAGATCCATTAGCTACACCCATACCTGGATTGATCAGCTTTCCATGTATGTTAATTTACTAGGATGTCCAGTAATGATATTTGTAATATTTGCCTATATCCCTGTGTACTTCCATGTAGATGAGTGTTTATGAGATTTGCTGTATCCGTGCCTTGTGTCGCTGTTAGCTCCTTTTCCAAAACATCCTTCCTGGAAGGAAGAGGAAGGTTTAAAAAGTGCATGAACTTCACAGAAATTCATAAATATTGGGAGCTCACAAAACTTAGTAGACTATGGGGCCTCTCTCCAGGTTTATCAACAGTTACTGAGGGATGTCACTGTGATGTGACTGCCTGCAAGGTGTGTGCAAGGAACTACAGTAACATAGCTTTTGTGAGTAGTCACTCCTGCCAGGACAGGCTTTTATGTCATACAGCTACCTTTCAGTCACCCGTGCTCCTGTAGGTAACCCAGGAATATATTGACTCTTCAAGCTGGGTGTGGGTGGAACCATTTCTTCATTTTGTTGTTGCCCCCTCCATTTGGAATGAACACAAACAGATTCCCCAGGGCTGGAGATGTGGGCCATTAGAGCAATGGCTGCTCTCACAGAGGACCTAAATTCATTTCCCAGAATGCACATGGTGACTCACAACTGCTTGTAAACTCAATCCCAAGGAGATCCAGTGCCTTCTTCTGACCTCTGAGGGCACTCATTATGTTAAAGGAGAAAACATGATTTCCAATGAAAATTTAACAGTACAACCATTTGCTCATTTTCTTTTTCATTCACCCCTTCCCAGTTCCTCCCAGATCCATATTCCCTTCCCTACCCTCACGACTTATATCTATTTTTCTTTTTCATCTATCACCTCTGATTTGTGCTTCCCACATATTCTTGGATACATGACCTTGTCCACTGGAGAGTGATGGTTGACTCAGAAGGGGCTTTATTCTTAAAGAAAACTGATTGTTCCTGTTCCAGCAGTATCAATTGCCAACAGCCCCTTGGGAGTGGAACTTTATTCCACTTCCCTGCTCCACACTGTGATTTGACCTGGCTTAAGCTTGAAGAGCTCTTGGGTGTGTTGCCCTACGTCTGTGAGTTTATATGTGCAGCTGCCTTATTGCATTTGGGAGGCGTTGTTTCTTTGTAGTCACCCTCTTCCATGATGATTCCTGAGCGTTTGGGAATAGAGGGTACAGGATACATGCCTCTTTTTATTGCTGAGCATTCTGTAGTCTCTTATTTTCTGCACATGGACTAATTGTGGGTAACGGTATTTGATTGCTTAATTGTATGGCTAGCTCTCTCTATTTATGCTACAGAATAACATTGACAGAATGCTACTGATAGATATCTGTCGAATTGCATGGCAGGTGAATGAGTACTTTTAAAATAAATTGATAGAAATGTCTACAGTGGTCATGCCATTTCATATTCTGTTGAGTAATGTATAAAAGTACTTATTCTTTTTTTTTTTTTTTTTGGTTTTTTTTTTTTTGGTTTTTCGAGACAGGGTTTCTCTGTGTAGCTTTGCGCCTTTCCTGGGACTCACTTGGTAGTCCAGGCTGGCCTCGAACTCACAGAGATCCACCTGGCTCTGCCTCCCGAGTTCTGGGATTAAAGGCGTGCGCCACCACTGCCCAGCGTTAAAAGTACTTATTCTTGCAATCCTGGCCAACATGTGTAGTGTTGAACAGTTCTGTTTTAATTATTCTAAAGGTTATTGGTATTTCATTGTAGTTTGAATTCAATTATCTATGGTAAACAATATTTAGCATCTTCTCATATACCTGTTTCATGTATGTATGTTCTTTGGTAGGCATATATATTCCTATTCTCAATGTGTGTATATGCATGAATTATAAAGTGATTTATATAGAAGATCATCAGATTACATGTAATATTAATTTCTTTACATTGCTGCTCTTGTCTATTTCATGTGTTGAAAAAGCTTGTGAAAAATTGATACTTCCCTGTTAAATGTTTGATTATATCATCTGGATCTAGAATTTCCCCTCAGGGAAGTATTTTTAAAAACATATTATTTCATATATCTTATTTTAAACAGCTTTATTGAGATACATTTTAGTTATGAAAACCATCCATTTCAAGTGTACAATTTAATAATTTCTACTAACTTTACCAAGTTTTGCAGCCATTACCATAAATCAGTTTTAGAATGTTTCTGTACCTTTAATAAGATCTCTTGTGCCCTTTTCCAGTTAATTTCTACTCCCACCACTTGCCAGAGGCAACATTTTGAAAGCTTATGGTCATAAAATAAACGTGAGAGACATAAATCTTTTTCAGAGTTCTCCTTTTCTTTCTAAGTCAGTTTTGGTAAAGTGGGAAGTTCAGTAAATTTGTACATTTCCTTCTGTTACTCCTTTTTGGACATGAAATCATTCACATTATTTTTTAATGTCTAAGGTCAAGACATGGACTCTCCCTTCAGACTGGCAATCTCTGTGCTCCCCCCACCACTCGTCTCCTGTTGTTCTTCATCTGTACAGTCAAGGAGTCAATTTTACAGACCAGCTTCTGTCATTTCCGATTTTTTTCTCCCTAGTCTTTTTTTTTTTTTGCTTCATTGGAGTGTCATTCATTTTTTAAAATCTTTCTGTGTTTTAATGTACAGTTTAGGTGATTGAATTTAATTTTTTTTTCTGGTGTCAGGATTTAGTTGTCAATATTTCCCTAAGATTAGTTGCTCACATTATACAAATTTAGAAAACATACTTTTATTTTCAGTCTTATAAAATATTTTCTTCTTTGTATTTCTTTTGAATGGCTCTTGGGTTTGGGGAGGGTTATGCTGTTTCATTTTAAATACAGGTTCACTTTCTAGGTAATATTTTTGTTGATTTTACTTTAATTTCATTACTGTCAGAATAAGTTTCATCCTTTAAAATGTATTAAGATGTGTTTTAGAGAGTAATATGGTGGGAGGGGCTGTTATGTTTTGATTGGTGTTCTAGGAAACTTCAAGATCATTTCCCTCACAATGTACACCTGGTGCTATATGGATACTTTGGATTAAGGATACTGTATTTCCTGTTGTTTTTCATTTTTAGGCATTCATTTGTTTGGTGTTTTAAATGTTTTCAACTATCTCACCACACACTTTAAAATTGTTGAACCTTTGAGGAAATTGTTAATTACATCATTTATGATATAGTCATACCTGTGGAAGTCAGAGGACAGGATGGAGGAGTAAAATTTCTCCTTCCACTATGTGGGTCCCTGAGGTAGAATCCAGGTCCAGATGCTTGGAGACAAGCCCTTTACCCAGCTTAGTGACCTCACTTTCCCATAAAATGCTCAAGGTTTTAAAATATGTTTTGTATTAGTTCCCTATTCCTATGTTTGAAGAACAAAGATTTAGTGGCATAAGCCAACAATAATTTACCTCACTCTTCTGCACATCAAGTGCAGTGTATTCAGGTCCACAGATTCCCTTCTTAGTATCACAAGGTTGAAGATGTCAGCTAGCAACCCATTATCTGAAGGCTTTCAGGGAAGAATCCCCTTCCAGCCTTCTCTAGATTGTTAGTAGATGTTGGCTCCTTGAAAATGTAAGAGTGATCTGCCTGCCTCCGTTCTGGCCACCTTCCAAAAGATACAGAGTGTCTGGGTCCACTCTCAGGTCCTTGCATAGGTGCCTCTCTCTTGAAAGGAAAGAGTATCATTTGAGTGAAATCCCCTCTCCTGCTTGCAACCTCTGCCCTTTTCTTTTGTCTTTTAAGGTGCTTATGTGATGTCAATAAACTCACTGGATAATCTATCTTTGAGTCAATCGATTAATGTTTTTTTTTTTTAATTGCATCTGCAAAAGACTTTCCTCCATATAATTTCAAAAGTCATTGAAGGAATTTCAGTAGTCTGTTTAACTTGCTATTTTATTGCACTTGTGAGCTAATTCAAAGTTGACAATTTCAAAATCTGTTTTATTAACTAGGTATTTCCCCCCATTTTATAAATGTCCTCCTAATATTTATTGAATATTAAATAGCATAAATCTATCACAGGAAAGTGGCTGCATTTTACTGTCCACTAAAGGCCATTGAACTTGGGGATAATGGTGTAGAAATGTTTGTAGAGGACTTGCCCAGATTCAAAAGCCCTGGATTTATCCCCAGCACTGCAAGAAACCAGGTATGGCAGATGACTGTAATGTCAGTATTTGGGAGATGAGAGACGGAATAATCAGAAGGTCAGTAAGGCCATCTTCAGCTATGCAGAGATGAGTATAATACACTGAATCTTAAGACTCTTTAAAGACTCATCATATATACTTAGTGCTTACTATATTTTCATTTTATCTTCCCTAAAATGATCATTTGGTGCTTACCATTATTTTCTCAAGGTCAGTAGTCATATGGAGAGCTAACTTGAAGGCCACTGCACTCTATTATCACCAAGTTATAGATTCAGTAATTCATTCTCACGGAAATCTAATAAGCAGTATCTTCTTATATATTTAATTATCTGCTTATCTTTAAGCTCTAACTGTCTAAATTAGCACCCCTGATTATGAGAGAACAAACTCAAACTAGCTTTTCAAAAGGATGGGACAGCCAAAGGTGGTGAAGTGTGTCTGTAATTGCATCACTTAGAAGGAAGAAGAAGGAGGATCAGGAGTTCAATGTCGTTGCCACCAACACAGCAAGCTCAAGGCAAGTTTGAGATACAGGAAGCCCTACATCAAATAAATTTAACAACAAAACAGATGGAAGTGAGTAGGAAGATGGAAAGCTCAGTGGTAAATGGAGCTAGACCCGTGGCTGAACTCAGCATCTCCCATGACCTTGCTGGGGCTCTACCCTTTGTTCCACACCTTAATCTTCTTCCCTTTGTGGTTTCATTTAATTCTGTGACTTTTTTTGTTCATATTGTAGAAATGGCAGCTCCCAGAAATCTTTGGTCTCTATCTTCATATATAAATAGCTAAGAGAACTGCCTCGTTTGAGTTTCATTACATCAAAATCTAAGTTCCTCTCCTGTCCTAACTTATCAGCCTTACTCAGAAAAGTGACTAAAAGAGATGTGTTTTCAAAGGAGTGGTTTTCGATGTTGTCAGTGTAAGAGAAGTGACTTCCCATTCTCTACCAAGTTAAGGAGACATTGAAAAGATTTGGGGAATGGGAGGGGATATAAGTTCTTGCAGACTGGCTTGTCTAGAAACCAACACAGGGAAGAATTTTTGCTTGGCAAGTAACAAGTCATTTTGCTATCTGTTTCACATCCATAGAAGGGATACATTTTTGAAGGGCAACAAAATACTATAGGGAAGGGGAGGCTTAGCATTACCCAAAGAATCACGTTTGCAACTGATTTTCTCTAAATTCAACTGACACTCTCAACCAAAGGGCAGGTAAAAAATGTTCTCCTTCTATAGTCAAAGGAGAAAGCAATTAGATCATTGAGGTCTCCTTTGGTTCTGAATTAGATTCTCTTTGTGGTTTTAAAGCCTCTACACCTAGACTGGCCTATGAGATTTGAGAGATGCAACAGGCAAAATCTATGAATTAAGCACATTGGATAAGAGAGAGAGAGAGCGAGAGAGCGAGAGAGCGAGAGAGCGAGAGAGAGAGCGAGAGAGAGCGAGAGAGAGAGAGAGAGAGAGAGAGAGAGAGAGAGAGAGAGAGAGCGCGCCTGTGGGGCATCTTAAGGCCAGACAGAAAGCACAAAAGCTGCATGGCATACAGATAACTCAGAAAGCAACCTAAAGTCACAAAAGAAATGAACCCATATCTGTTATGCTCTGTCCAGTCTATCTCCTGGTCAATAAAAACAATGATAGTAGTAATGTAATATGTTAAATGTACATATGTTGAGGACTAAGTTGATATGTTCTAGGGACATTTGAAAAGCAAAAGGTCATGGTAATGCTTATCCATAGAAAACATTCAACCTTAACACAAATGCATTAATATAATATTTATTAATACTGAGATAATTTTAATATATCTATTTTCATTTTGTGCATCTGAGTGCTTTACATGTATGTATATATGTTCAACATGTGTCTGATTCTAAGGAAGTCCAGATAAAGTAACCCGAATTCATGTAATGAAGTTACAGATGGTTGTGAGTCACCATATGGGCTCTGGGAACTTACCACAGATCCCCTCGAAGAGCAGGAAGTGCTTTTAACTGCTGATCCATTCCTCTGTGTGAACCACGTGCACAAGGTGCCCATACATACATAAAAGGAACACTCAAGTACATAAAATAAAAATTTAAAAAAACATTTAAAATGGAGCTGATCTAGAAAACAAAATTGAACAGCAGTAGCAACAACAAAAAATAGGATGGAACTCTTATAATTCAGTTAGATGGTTTTTGTGAGGCCATGAGTAAAGATGAACGCTTAGACAGAATCAAGCCTACAGACACGCTTTATAATATATCATCTTTGGCCAAAACTAGATTCTCCTCCTCCTGCTAAATATGCCCTTAGAATGGTGGTTATCCAAGTTCTACTTGAACTATTTCTATGGGTAGATTTCAGTTTATCTACTCAATGCAAAAATAGAGTACCTAATATGAAAGGTTGGATTCTCCACTGTGGCTAAATATAGAAAAATGAATGTGATGATGTGGGTTCTAAATGCATAGTGATTCTGCAGGCTTAGTATCACTTGTAGTTTCTCTGGTAACAGACTTCATGTTCTATGTGATTCAAGTATGCTAGTGTCTAGTTACAAAAAGGAGCTCAGTGTCTCTCACCTCCTTCAGGCAGTTTATGACAGTAGGCTCAGTTATTGGTCTGAGAATGAGGTCTTAACTCTAGAAGAACCAATCTAAGCTTTCATGAAAGTTGATCAAGTGCCTCAAGGTTAGGTGAGGCTGTTTCAGTCTTCCAATTTTTTTCTATACAAGAGTGTTTCAAAGAACATTTATTATCCATTATATTCCAGAAACCACACATAGTGACTAAGGGCTGGGCAATTTATGTGTCCATATTTCTTCTCTGTTTATTTTTGTTTCTGGTTGCTTCCAGGTAAAAGCAGCAGAGTAAGAGAATCAGTTTTGATTCACTCAACCATGAGCAAATCTTAGAAACAGACAACATTGAAAACATTGTCCTTAATGAAGAGATAACTAACACCCCACTTCATATCCTTAAGAATCTTACAAACACAATCAATGTACTACAAGGGATATAATTCTGGCTGCCAGGTGTTTGGAGAGAATGAAAAGAGAAAAGAGTGATATCTTAGGGTTACCATTGCTGTAATGAAACATGATGATCAGAAGCAAGTTGGAGAAAATAGTTTGGCTTACAATTTTTGGCTTACACTTGTACATCATAGTGCATCACTGAAGGAAGTTATTAACAAAACAGTGAAGGAAGCTGGAGATGGGAGCTGATTCAGAGGACATGGAGGGCTGCTGCTGACTGGCGTGTTCCATATGGCTTGCTCAGTTTTCTTTCTTATAGAATCCAGGACCACCTGCCAGGGGAGACATGCCCACATTAGGCTAGGCACTTCCATACCAATCGCTAAGAAAATGCCCTACAGGTTTGCTTACAGCCCAATCTTATGGAGGAAATTTCTCAATTGAGGCTCCCTCTTCTTCAGTGACTGTAGCTTCTGTCAAGTTGATATAAAACTAGCCACCAAATGAGGTAACCTTTAACAAATGGCTACAAGATATTCATGGGACTACCATGAGCTATGAGAGGAGAATGGTAGAGAAAGACATGGATGAATACCTGCACAGGTGAAAGCTGGTTATTACTTGTTATTCATCTCTCTGAGTACTGTTTGGCATCAACTTCATAAAACAATGTGAAATTAAAAATAGGATTCCATCTCTGTCAAAGATAGCCCAAGCTACTGGTGTTTAAACTCAGCAGCCCTTGTCATCATGTCCCATAGTAGGCCTTTCATTTGTTTCATTTGCTTTTTCTTCTCTTTCAATTTAGATGATTATATCTTGACAGAATCCTACCCAAGCCATTTCAATCTGGGGTTTGATCTAAAGCATGGCAATAGAAGAGTAACTACAGCCAGTTTTTTTTTTTATGTCAAACAATAGAAAGAAACTACCATGTAAATGGAAAACAACAAAAACAATCCTTCAAGAAGGCCTGGATCTGGAGCACCCATGTACTTTAATGGAATACCTTTCTATCTGCCTGTTACTATGTGTCTTCCTGTATGTGTGTCTCTGTCCTCTAATCTCTCTCTCCTTTACTTCTTCCCCTCACCTCATTCATGTCATCATTGTCTATATCCATTTTATCCATGTGTGTCTCCATCTTTCTCTGTCACCCCCCCACTTGAACTTGTTGTCATCACTGCCCTCTATCTTAGTCTGGGATTCAAAAAGGTCCCCGTTCCAGTTCCACAGTATGTAGAACAGGGGCCATCCTCAAAGGTGCAGACCTGCAGCAAACAGCAGGAGCCATCATGGAATAAAGTTAGGTTGTGTGTGCATTTGTGTAGTAAGGCATCCAGCCTGAGGGTGACTGATATGCATATTGTATGTAATTTGCATATGAATCACAGTACAGTTTTGTAGAAGATGACAGTAAAATATCTTGTACTTACAAAATCAGAAGGGCATAAGAGTTTTCCAGAAAAGATACATGAATTCTGTTGAGCAGAGGGCCTAATTTTTTCTAATCCATCGACATGTGTCTAGTTCCAGTGACAACCCCCACTCCCACCCCCAACCTCATGTCTCCATCCTGGCTGCCCCACCAGGATGAGTTCTGCAAGACTCTGGTTGAACTTTATTCCCTCGGTTGACCTTGACACTATGGCTAGAGGAGCAGATGAACTATTAAGCCACACCTAGATTATAGGAAGAAGGCTCAGTTCAAAAAACCATAAAAATTGAAATAGAGAGGAATATGTCCTGAAAGAAAGTGAAGGACTGTCCCTATGGAAGGAAGAATAGACAGCAGAAGCCCCTGACCTAACCCATGCAGTCCTCATCGCCAGTAAATGTTGGTGATGGAGTGTGGAGATCTTTGTGCTGTTTTCCTAAGCATAAAGCAACAGAGAATGTTGGCCTAAAAAGAGCACCGTAGCCAAAGGGACGTGGCCTATTTTAACAAAGTATTTGATTTAAAAAATAAGTTGGAGGGCATCCAACTCAATCTCATCATTTTCCCAATGGGAAAACTAAAACTCAGGCAGAGGCACTGAAATGCCAAGGACACACAGGTAGTTGTTGTTGGAGGCAATATAACAGCATTGTATGTTATATCTAATAGTTTTCCCACCAACAACACGAAGCATGGCCTTGTTTTTGGCTTTCTTTCCACCCTCAAATGTGTCTAGTATAGCTTTTATACACTCCAACAGAAAGCATCACCAACAGTTGCGTTAAGGTCCCAGAGAAATTTTAAATTTCCCTGTAACAAAGCTAATGCCACTTGTTGCTTTAAAGGGCTAAGTTTCAGTGGGGGTACCTTCCAGGAGGCACTGCAGTGGGACCTGCCTTAACATCCTGGCTTTGTTCCTAGAATCCCCAGCAAGGAAAGTGAAAAACAGCATCCCTCATGTTCAAGGAGACTTCTGCAGCTCCCCTTTCTTCCTCCTACCCTCACCTCTTTCATGCTCTTTCCTAACAACAAGGACAAAAAAAATCTGTCACCAGCCCAGAAGTATCTCTGGAAATAGGTAGGAGGGAGCCTTACACCTGCCACCTCAGCGCTAGTGGGGCAAGTGCTGGAGTTCTTAGTTGTTTCTTCTGTTGTAGAAAGAAAGGAAAAGACACCACACCGACAGGATCCCAGTTTCTGCTGCAGACCTGCTGAGGAAGGTGGACAGTTCGGCCAGCATTAGCCTTTAGGAAGATCCAGGGTGCAGTACCATCCCTTAGGCTTCCCCTTGGCTTCAGCTTTCCTCTAAGCTAGAGGGTGCCTTCTCCTGGAGAAGCTGATAGTTAAGTCACGAATCAAGCTACTGACTGTCCTGTATTTTTCTGAGCATAAGCTAGCACAAGAGTGCCAGTCATAGATACGGGGGTCTCCCCTTTTTCCGCCCTCTTTCAACTGGCTGCTCCACTTCAGGACTGCCTCTCTTTCTGCTAGAGCTGAGAGTCAAAGGCTCAGACTTTGGGGCTCCGAATCAGTCAGCCCCCATATCCCCATCTCATCCCAAGTGTAGGTCTGCGGTTCCTAGAACATGGGCGTGGGTGTTGGTGGACTAGAGGCTTCCATTCCAGAGTTGGAGACAAGAGCTTCCCTTGGTATCCTGCTATCCTGAAATCCCTGGCTTTCCTGGGGACCACGAAACTCCCCTGGAGAGGCAACCTCCTTGCTCCCGGGCCACCCACCCATTCCTCCACCCCCCCTTACCTCAGCACGCAGCCCCTCCCTGCGTGATGATGCAAACCGGTGGGGAGGGCGGGCGCTGGGAAGGGTGGGGAGAGATGGATAGCAAGCAAGGGAGGGAGAGAGGGAGTGGGAGGAGGAGGAGGAGGAGAGGGAGCCCAACGACCATTTAAAGCGATAGCAATCCCTGCCCTCTCCCCAGTGCTTGGCTGTTGGAGAGCGCGAGCCGCTAGCCGGGGAGCGCAAGCTCGGCGCGCGGGCCAGCAGAGCCACAGCGCTAGGTGCCCAAGGCTAGCTGGCGCCCTGGGACCCCCCACCCTCTCCCGCTGCACCTCCTCCGGCTCCTCCACCCTCTGTGCCTACAGAAGTCCCCGGGCTTCCCCCAAAGGAGCTCACCTCGAGAAGCCCGGACTTAGGAGAGCCCACCAGCATTCCCTCCAGCGCCGCCGCCGCCACCGCAGCAGCATCCGGAGGAGCGGCATGGTCCAGCTGGGGAAGCTGCTCCGCGTCCTGACTTTGATGAAGTTCCCCTGCTGCGTGCTGGAGGTGCTCCTGTGCGTGCTGGCGGCGGCGGCGCGCGGCCAGGAGATGTACGCCCCGCACTCGATCCGGATCGAGGGGGACGTCACCCTTGGGGGGCTGTTCCCAGTGCACGCCAAGGGTCCCAGCGGAGTGCCCTGCGGCGACATCAAGAGGGAGAACGGGATCCACAGGCTGGAAGCTATGCTTTATGCCCTAGACCAAATCAACAGCGATCCCAACCTGCTGCCCAACGTAACGTTAGGCGCGCGGATCCTGGACACTTGTTCCAGGGACACTTATGCGCTCGAACAGTCGCTCACTTTCGTCCAGGCGCTCATCCAAAAGGACACCTCCGACGTGCGCTGCACCAACGGCGAGCCCCCGGTTTTCGTCAAGCCAGAGAAAGTAGTTGGAGTGATTGGGGCTTCGGGGAGCTCCGTCTCCATCATGGTAGCCAACATCTTGAGGCTTTTCCAGGTAGGGGGGCGCTCCCTTTGGGGAGGAGCATTCTGTGGCTCCCTGCGCTCTAACCTTAAAGGCTGGTTTGGACTTCGTGGGTTGCAGGGGTCAGGCCAGCACTCCGGCATTTCTTCCCTGGAGATCCTGCCGAATCCCTCCCACCCCACCCAAGGAGGTATCTTCCTTGCTTAGTTTACTCCTCTTTCATGTCTTCCCTGTCCATGCTCCACTCCATCCGACCTGACTCCCCGGATTTATGGTCCCATTTACAAGAAGCAATCTTCGGAAAAACAAGGCGATGATTTAAATGGGTTTGCATTAGAGTGAAATATGGTCGGAAACAGGCTTGTAAAAGTGCCTGGGCTCCTAAGGGAGCAGGTTAGGCACACGGAATATGAAAAATGAGAAGATGCTCTGAAAAATGGCATTTCTCAACTCCCCTGCTTCCCATGCCCAAGCCACCTAGGAAACCTCGACTCCGTGGAAATATTCACAAAGACCTCAAGAAGCCCCTTCTTCAACTGAGGGCTGGGGTTTACCCGCATGTGGATGCTAATTGCCCATCTCTTTGGGGTTGAATTTCCGACCTGTAGCCGGTCTCCATCAGAGGCATGGGGTACCCGCCCCACTAGGGAGACCCCGCCTGCTGACGTGATCCCCGCAGAGTTGGTTTCCTCCTGGCAATTTTTGTGCACCGCCTAAATTGCATTTGCAGTCCGGCCAGTGGCAGGAGCAGGGCGATCAGCTAGCTTTCTGCTGCCACTTCAGACCTCAGCTGGGGATGAGCTCATGCTAACTGCGAAATAAAATCGCTTTCACTGACTGCTCCCTCTACTCCCAGTCCCTCTCCCTCACTAATGCAGCCCCACACCCGAATCCCAGGATCTGAGCTTGGAGATAGAGTCTGCTCTGCCCAGGAACAGTAGGGTGTACTGGGGCGGGGGGCATGCAGGTCTCATGTCCTGGGTTCCAAAACAGGAGGAAGGCGGATCCAGGACTGATGAGCAGTGGGTCCAACTGCAGTGCTCTGCCTCTGGTCCCTGCAGCCTCAGAACCCGTGCCTCCTTGGCTGCTCTGAGTAAAAATGGATGGCTTTGAGGGTTTTGAGTTTGCGGAACTCTCTGACCGGGTCTCCGTGTATGCTTTTTTTTTTTTTTCTTTCTGTTTCTTTATTTGGTTATCCTTTTTAGACCCCTCCTCATGGCCCCTTCTCAGCCTCTATTTCCTTTCCTTATTCCCAAGTTCTTGCCTCTTGTCAGTTCTGCTGCGACTTTGCTAATCCAAGGCTTGCTCCCAGGTTTGGTAGTAGTCAAATCCAGCCAGCCTTTTCTGTTAGTTGTGCAAGATGATCCCTTCAGGACTTTGCTGCCCAAGTCTAAAAAGTGACTCTTGCTGGCATGTTTCCCCTAAGAGTGTGAATTTTAAGAGGGGCCTGCTGATGATGGTCAGGCCAGCACAGGACCTGCCTGATCTCCAGGAGTGGGAAGTTTGTAGTCCAGCAGCAGAGGTGCTCACCTGAAGCTAGTGAGGCCCCTCTGATCTCTGGAGCATCCTGATTCCTCCTGAGTGTGCCAGCATGGAGACTTCTTGCTGCTCGCACTCCCCTAAAGTGATTTGAGGGCAACCTTAATGCTAGGTTGCTTGCATTCTGGAACAGCCCCTGGCTTTTGTCATGAAAACTCAAAAGAGTTTCCTTCATCTCTGAGCTTGAAGCTGGACAACTTGGGGGTGGGGATGCTGTAGCTACAGAAAGGATGAAAAGATGAGCTGAGACAATACCTGAGCATGTTTAGTGTGTGTTAGTGTGTTAGTGTGTTAGCGTGTTAGTGTGTGTGTGTGTGTGTGTGTGTGTGTGTGTGTGTGTACCCTCCCAAGCCTTGAGGGGTGGGCTGCTCATTCTGGATTTAGCATTTTAGTGTTATTTCTCTGCCTGCTTTTCTCCTCAATGGGAACATGGACATCATCCCAGCTGGGCCTATGTGTCTGAAACAGAGTGAAATATTTAAGTTAAGAAAGTCATTGCAGATGAAGCTAGGGACAGTGTGCAAAGGGACTCCAGGGGGAGCTGATTTCTCTTCAGTTGCATTTAAAACTGAGGCAACTTCCAAAGAAACAAATGGCTGGTGTTCTACCCCCTCCCCTGTTCTCTGAGCTGGGGAGGGATGGAACCTAATGCCAGTGTGAACAGTGTGGGTTGGGACTAAAACCATTCAGGGAAAACACTGTCATTTTCCTCTAATTTGCAAATTGCAGCTATTCATGTTGGATTGTAGAGCTGAGGCAAAAGAAGCCCCGATTCTCACCTGTAGTTATAGAGAAGAGGCTGACAGTGAGAGGGATGCTCCAACTTGTGGCGTGTGCTGCAAACTGGGCATAGCAGTTACTATGCACCCTTCTTTAGCCATTCCTCATGTTGAAGTAAGTGTGTATGTGTGCATGCGTGTGCATGCACAAACACAGATATGAGCATATATCTCAGTGTGCTTCTCTGTCTCTGTATTTCACGTAGATATTTTTAGTGGCTTTTTTTTTTTTAAAAAAATGTGGTGTTAGAATCCCCTAGACTGCAAGTTCCACTAGTTTTCCAGCTTCTGTCAACCTGCAACATGATTAACGAGAATAAAGGTAGAATAACAGTAGGCTCCTTCAAAAAGAGGAAGAGGAAAAGGCGAGGAGGTGAATCTCCTCTGGAACCATTGGGTTCTGTTCAATTAAAATTGTCCTATATAAAACAAACTCCTCCAAATGACTGAATTCTGAGCTTTACAGTGATTTGAGTTTTATTCTTTGCTCTGGTCCTCGTGGGTGGCTGTGGGGACCATGCCAAACTGATCACTTGAGATATGAATTTATAGTGAGATGAGCCTGTAGCCTGGGGGAGGAGGTACTTGCAGACTAAATGAGGGGATGCTGAGTGCTGGGGGCCAGGAGGAAGTAATGAGATACTCAGAGATACAACAAATGCTGTTACTGCCAGCACAGCCAGGGCAGAACTGTAAAATGCAGACCTGAACAGGGATGACTACTCAGATGTAAATATTGCCTTTCCATCCCTCGGAATTCTCTTCTTACGGGTGTGCAAGGCCAGTGATAGGTCTGGAAAGTCAGGTCAGTCTCTCTCTCTCTCTCTCTCTCTCTCTCTCTCTCTCTCTCTCTCTCTCTCTCTTCTGTTATCTTTCCCGAATGGGTTAGTAAATGACATGTCTGAGAACAAGAATCAGATCTAGTAGGTCTTTCAAATCCAGGAATTTGAGGCTAATGAAATTAGCTTGTGGCCAGGGCTCTGCCAAGTAGAATTAAATCACAGCAACTGCCCCGCGATGCATTTTCAGCCTCAAAGAAGCATTGGGGAGGAATTTCTGGAGATTTGTTTCTGAGCCTGGGCAGAATAATACTCTCTTAATGCTCAGAAAGATTAAACATAAATTATTACTGACGAGGAGTAACATATTTTTAAAAACTAATCACAGGATAGGCATGGCTTAAAGTGGGGAGGTTACATAATGTGGTGGCTGAAAGATGAATTTCCCCTGAACAGTTTTTCATAGCCATAAGTGAGAAACATTACGGTGTTGAGGAAGAAGATCATTGTGATTAAGGATCCTCTTTTCATGACTTTCACATCCTGATTCTAACAGAATACTATTTTATGTGCATTGGCATGATCTAGGCTGTGAGCTCAGAATTGCATGGCATCTGTTCTCTCTCTCTCTCTCTCTCTCTCTCTCTCTCTCTCTCTCTCTCTCTTTCTCTCTGTGTGTGTGTGTGTGTGTAGTTTTTTGTTGTTGTTGAAATAGCTAGCTTGAGAAATTGTACCATTATTGAATGTAATAGTACAAATCTAAGCCTATGAACTTTGTATCATAAATGAAATTCATCTGCAAGTGTGTCAATGGTTTCTTTCCATTCACTGGAACTTGCATGTAACATTAAATCTTTAGGACACTATTTTATACTTAGATGCCTATCTTCATTCTCTCTCTCTCTCTCTCTCTCTCTCTCTCTCTCTCTCTCTCTCTCTCTCATCAATTCATAGGGTGATGTTGGATTACTCTAGGTGGGGGAAGGGGCTTCTTTTTTAAGGCAACTCTAACCTACTCTTTAAAATCGCATAAATATAGGTATCACTGCCATTTGGATCATCCCTGAAACAACCTCTGCCTCCACACTTACTGT